GCATTGCATCACGACAGCTACCCGAAGTAGATGTCGCCAGCTCTTCCAGACCACCAAACCTTCTCCCCGGAGACCGCTTCAGCAATCTTTGCGGAGTGTTGGCATCTTCCATTCTGCTTCGAATGGCCCTCTGGATGCAATCGTTCCTTGTTAGATGCAGGGATTTTGCCAAACTGAAGTATGTCAGTCCGGGATTGACCACAAGTGCATCAACAATCAGGAAATGTCCACCCTTGACTGCCAACATCAATGGATCCTCAGAATATCGATTTCTGACGCTTACATCAATTCGATCATGGCGTAGCAGCGCCTGGACCATCTCCAAGTCACCGCCACGGGCAGCCATGCAGAGAGCAGTGTCGTGAGTTGCGATCGTGCTTTCATTGATGTTCAGACGTGCGTCTTGTTGCACTAAGAGACTTACCACATCGAGATGGCCATGTGCAACCGCTCGACAAATAGGCGGATCTATTAAATCCATTCCATTAATCTCCACGCCCGCCATACTCAGTAGACAAGCAACCGTGTCCACACTTCCGTGAGATGCGGCAGCAGACATTGGAGAGCGGCCTGCAACACAGTGATTGAGATCTATTCCTGGCACCGCAAGCAGCTGCCGTAAAACTGCAGTGTCCAATCTGGCTGCCGCGTGATGAAGCGATGTAGAAGGCCCCTCGCGCCTCCCGTAGCCTCCGACGAAGTTGACATCGATGCCGATCTCGGCCAGTAGCCTTTCGGTTATCTCGTCGTATGACAAGTACGTTGACAGCCATAGAGGCGTATTGCCTTCTTTGTCTTTGCGGTCCACATTGGCACGAGGGTAACTCAGGAGCATATTGACCACTTCGAGGCGTCTGCTATGGACGGCGAGATGGAGGGTGTATCACCATTTGGGTCGTGGGCGTCCAAGTTCAGACCCTTATGTCCAAGAAGCCGCTTGACAGCATCTACCGACCCATAGGATACCGCATGGTGAAGAGGTAGCTCAGCCTCCTGTGATGATTGGGCACCAAGAAACACCTCGGCCATCGGATCGTTTGAAAAAATCATTTCCATCACGGGCCTATTGAAGCGACGTGCCCGGTCCCATGGCGAGTGGCCCGAATCATCCTGTAGATCAGGGTCACTGCCTCTAGAAAGTAGCAGATGCACGAGCCCTATTCGGCCTGCGAAGACTGCTAGGTGGAGCGCCGTTCGGCCGTGTTTGTGCTTGATGTCCACCTGGACGTTGGGTTGTTCTAGAACGCGCTTGACGGTGGAAAAAGTTCCGTAGTGGATGGCATACCACAGGGCGCTCTCCCGTGCTTGATTTTGAATGTTGATGTCTAGATCTCGACGATTGAGCAAGAGGTCACGCACAGCAGCGGAAGAGAATTTCAGCGCCCTCATTAAAGGAGTTTTGCCTCGGTAAAATGCATTGATGTTGGCGGTGTGCTGGAGCAAAACCTCCGCAAGACCGACGTTGTCGTATTTGACGGCCAGGTGCAACAGATTGCTGTTCTGAAATTTGATATTGTATTTCCAGATGCTGGGCTGCAGTCTAAAATCGAGGTCTTTGCATGATTTTGCGAGGGCAAATAATGCACTACCGTCCAAATACGACACAATCCACAGCAAAAGCTCGTTGGGCAGGTCTCTGATATTTGGCTGTAACGTATTAGCTCATCGGTAAACCCCGTAAGAACGAATTGAACGGACCATGATTGGACAGCGGATGGAGCAAACGAAATGTAGATAGGGGTGAGGTGAGAGATGTGAAAGTAGGATATGGGAGGCCTTTATATACTCACCTCAGCCAAATTCGTGGTCAGCTAGGAGTCTAGTCTGTCACTTGGCTGAAAGGTGCATAGCAATCACACGGCAGCATCATAGCCTTGACAACAATGTTCAGGCGGAGTTGGAGAATCTGTGGGGTCTAGCTCCCGGGAACGCCAAATCAGTTCCTGGCTATGTCGATAGCCTGGAAACCGAATCTATCTTGGTACCCACTTTCATCTAGCGCCATAAGAGTAGATCATAACCTATCACGCGCTTCCGAATTCCATAGGCAACCCAGAATTTCACCCAGCATATGTCGACTTTGCTGCTCACCGCAGTAGCCAGTCTGTTCGCCACTCCCTGGTCACCGCGATGGACAGTCACAGGTGCAGCTGATTGCAGCAGTGGTCTGGAATGATATCCCTTCATGCAGGCCACTGATCGGCTGTATACGGCGCATACTGCGTGTGAATGCATTCTTCCACGTACCGACTGTTTCAAGGAAGTGTTCCATGCCAGCCACGCAGCCATGTAGGTAAGGAGCCACGCGATGGCATATAAAGCTGGCGAAGGAACGCCGCAGTGATTGCCCAACACCACCACAATCCGAAGCATTTTCTGCCTTTGACGACTACCTCAATAACTACCATGCTGCCTTGGAATCCGTTTCTTGTTTGTGAGATAGAGGTCAGCCCCAATGGCGGTCCTGGCTCTTGTTGCGGGACGACGAAAAAAGGCGAGCCGTGCAAAAACTCGATCAAAGTTGAAGACACCAAGATCGGCCATCAAAAGTTGACCACTCTCGCCAGAGAGCCATTTGACTTGTCATCGTTGCAGTCGAAGCTCTGTGACGTCGCCAGAGACTTCCTCTGTGCGAGATGGCACCGGCAACGGCAGGCCGACCAAGTTGGCCAGCAGTGGTATGAAGCCGCCGTCCGCAACCAGGCGCGAGTACCACATGGCTCCAGAATGGCCTCTCCATCAGTCATTGTACATCGGGGCCAGCGTCAGACATCGTCAGCCTCCAGGCGACGCCCTGCATCAGACAACACCCGGTCATCACCACCACCGGTGCCCCTGTCAACCAACCCCGAGCCAGTGCAGCCATTCAATCCATTTGTGACTTCTGCAACGCTGCGGACGAACAATGTTCCATGGCGCGTTTCGCCGACCCGACCAGCCATCCTCTCATCGGCAACTAATATCCGGGCGGGTGTCCAAGACTTGACGCTGCAGAGTCTCAGGCCGAGCCAAGCGGTCGACAGCATCCACGTCGACAGCATCTACTGTGTGTTCTGCCAGACTGAGGATGAAGACCATGCGGACGAGAGCGTGATCTTGCACTGCGGTCAGTGCACATCGCTCTGTCATCTGTCATGCGCCGAAGAATGGTTGGAAAAGCGAGATACAGGGTTTGGCACGTCATGCTGTGTGTGGTAAGTGTGGATGACCTTATTTCTGAGACGACCAAGACACTGATGACCGCAGCCGAAACGAAGGAGCCCTAGATGCCATCATTCGCCCCTTACGAATCCCTTCGTCGGATGCCGAGACACATTCCGTCCACACGGCAAGCGATCCATCTCCCACTGGTGGGCCCCGTCGCTCAGCCAGACTAGCAGGAACTTATCTACCGCGACAACCTTCCACCGCTGCACCGCTTCGCCGATCGGCACGACTCAATTCCACTCAGCGTAGGTGATCACAGGTTACAGCCGAGTTTGACGGAAAATGCGAAAAGCGAGTGAATCACACGCGAGTACACGTGACCAGACACTCGGCATCGTGATCAGCAACAGAGGTTACAGCCGTTATAGCCGTGATATAGAATTTTGAAGCAAATTAGCAAGAAATGAAATACGGATGGTTAAACTCCGAAGTACAACGCGACTGTTTCATCTCGTAAGTGCTGGACACCAATACACCATAGCCAGTAGCTATTGATTGCTTCGCTGATTCCGAAAATGTCTGAGCTCGAAACTGTAGTGGTAGATAAAAATTCTGTTTTCATGATACCTAACGGCGGTGACCAAAAAAACAGAGAAGGATTCGTCTCAGTGGAGCCGTGTCGCGTGAAGGCGGGGATTGTTGGCAGAAAAGCCACAGGCAAGAGATTGACAAACTCTCGTGCTTGTTAACTTACTCTGAGAACCAATATGATGGCCCTGGGAACCTCAAAAGCATTTCTAGGAGCTGTTTATCCCCTAGGAAATACTCTTGAGATCCTGGGGCTGTTCCTATTTCTAGGAAAATGAGATCTACCCCTGGGATCTTCACTCTACGTTCCTGACTGAATACGAAACTCGCTCTGGGAATACATTGACCAGATCTGGGAGCTGTGGAGCCCCTGGGAGCTTACTTTAGGGTCCTAGAGTCACTATCTTGCCTTCCGAGATCGCCGACAGCCCTCACAAAAAACCTTCACCGGACCTGCGCACAATTCTGCGTCATTCGGTCACTCCTAGAGGGCCAAATTATAGCCCCAGGAATCAAAAGAATCGTCAACAGGAACGCGGCTTTGATTCCCCGAGGTGGGGATACCAGACCCCAGAAGCTACATCGGGTTTCCTGGGGGATATGTGGCTCCTAGAAGCTGCTTCTTTGCTCCCAGATATGTTTCAGGAGCCCCTGGGAGTAAGGTAACTCCCAGGGTCAAGAGATGAGCTCCTAGCACTGATCGAATCGTCAATAGGAGCGTGACCGGTTTCGTGATAGTGATGGTGGATAGCCTTACAAGCTACGTACGATTTGCTGGGGCTATGGTATTTCCATAGTCACCGTTTTGAAGTCTTTACGAACACCAAGTTTGATCGATGTTTACACAGAGCAAGTCGTTGTTCGACAGCCCCGGAAAATGTGTCCGATGTCTTGGGAGTAACCCAGCTCCTGGAATCACCCTGAGCTCCCAGGGTCTGCTGCCTTTTTGAAAACTTGCATCAGGTATTCTGGGGTTGGATTGGTCGCTGCATATACCATATTAGTGCACCTCGTGGAAGAACATTTGACCCGGACGTGACGTCGTGGGTGAAGAAATTCATAAATACATGCTTCCCATCCTACTCTTTCCACAATTAGGCTCCTCAGTGCCACCTTCTGCCTTGAGAGGATGATAACCACTCTTTTTTGATGATGACGATACTCTCAAACCTTGAATACCATATTCATAGGAACTGACTTAAGCAGTTCGGCTTTAGTGGATTCGATGCCTGACTTTCGATTGTAACTTACAATGTCATCCCCAGTTATATGTTACTCTGAAAAGGGAACTTGAAAGCAAACTCAACCTCTCCCAAAATATTCCTCCCATTTCTGTCTAGCACCCTGCCATTGAATACCGCGTTCGCCTCCGGACCGTACATTCTCTTCCACAAAACAACCGAGCGATCTTCATTATGGGTATCCGACTTGAATTCCATGGCCGTATCATGCTCTGAAAATTTGATCGTGTGGGGTTCTCCTGAAGCGTCGATGTAGGGTAGGGTAGAGCCGGGCCGTATGTCTTGGTAAAGATCATCCCAATCGATCGCAAAAGAGGAAGATTCCACGGTACACATGTATTTCGACCGTTGAGTCTCCATTTGAGGATGTCGATGTCTCAAGTATACGCCCGTACCCTTTAACCACATCACCGGCATGCTCGTATCGGGGTCTCTGTACATGTATTTGCTCTCCACAGGCTGGACTAAGGCGTCAAATGGCTCTTCAGATGCCGCGAGCTCTGTTGGCGCTTCGTACGTGGGCTGGTTGGGCCGTATTGCCACGATCCAAATTTCAGGCGTATGTATGAGTCCGCCATTGGTCTCTAGCTCCGCAATTCGACTGCCCCAGTACGTCGCCGGACGTTGGATTCTCTCCATTAAATCCAGAATATCGCTACCAAGAATTGACTTGCAGTCCCTTCTTGATCAGTGGCTCAAAGTAGACCATGAAAGGGTCCTGCTCCCTGAGCGGATTCAGATATCTGCTGGCGTAGAGGAATTGTTCTGTGACTCCGAGCAGGTGCGCTATTAAAGAGATTTCCGTGGCGGTGAGTCCACTCAACAAGGGGTCGGCTAGCTCGTAATACTCGCTCTCCGTCATAACCAACTCAAAGATAGACCCGATGACGTTACGATATCTTTGGGGTATTGGAAATCTGTATACCCATGCCTTTGGCTTCATGTCTGGATGCGGTGGGGCAATTGTGGCCGGCTTGCAGAGAGCATGCGGTGTAGCTTTTGAGGGATGTTCGCATGCGCCAAGCCGATATGAACATCAGTTCTTTCAGTTGATAGATGATATGCAGGAAATTTTGATAGGATATACAAAGGAGCGTACGTGCTACTTATATTACGGCGTCTAGCCCGCAATCTTGTAGTTGCCTTGACCAATACACGCTTGATGTTGTTCTTTGGCCCCGTAAGAGCTATTCCATTGGATGTGACGCGAGTGAGTCGCGCTAAGGCCTTGGCGGTGGGGCTAGTAAACAATTGCCGGACGTGTATTGGCTAAGACAATTTCGAGGTTTCGGGCTAGACGTACACATAGAACACCGACACTTCCTGGCTCAGGAGGGCTACAGCCTATCGGCCAGGATGGCGCCGCCCTTCCAAGGCTTCCAACACCCATGGGTTGGCGAGACCTGCTTGCAATCTAGTTCTGAAGCTGCCACTCCTGTTCCATTTACGACACAATTAATGTAATTTATGTTGGAATCGGCCGAACTGATCCTAGGAGCTGCCACGCTTTTTGTGAGGGGCCCCGCCAGGCGTTAGTCTTCAATATAATTACGAGGAATGTGAACAAGGCGCCATGTGGGTGCGATTCAAACAACGTAGTCAGCCTTGACAGTAGGCATTTGAGATCAAAATTCATGGAATTATCGGCTCCATGATACGTGGACCCGGAGTCTTCGTAAGGAAGGAGTTGAAGGATGCAGGGGGAAAATTCTCAATCCGGTAAACGGCTCCATTACTAGCAGCCAAGTGCGATAAACCAAACCAAGAAAAGTTGGATTCACCGCATTGCAGTCGGAAGCCTTCAATTTGATTATAGGTTGCTTATGCCTGCGAAACCCAAACAGGGATTCAGGCCCCTAGCGGCTCTCCAAATAGGAATGGTCCAGCTTTCATGCCCTCCAAGCTCGCTCGGCAGCTAGGTCAGGGCAGTGACTTTTCCCTACGATTGATCTGTTGCTCTTGTGTTTAAAACAATCCCTTGCCCTCCTACTATTTGGACGTTCAAACTTCACCCATCCATGAATAACACAATGGACGCAAAGGTCGACTTTTCGGTTCCAACTTACGCCGACCAATATTATGGAGAGTTCCAAGCACTCTGCCCTAACGATAGAGAAGTGCTCTACAACCACTTTCTGGCGACTGCGAAACTGAGATTGGAAAACAAACCACATTGGTGGCCAAGCGCCGTTGATTGGAATTTTATTAATGACGAGGTTTTGGCTGCTGTGAAATCGAGACTGGAAGAGGAACCTAGGTGGTGGCCCACTAGCGTTGAATGGGGCTTCAAAGACGCCTCAGGTATGCAAGAATCCGGTCAGTCTTACGTCGTGCACTCTTTTTAACACTAATACTAATGTATGTCCAGAGAAATCCGAAGTCCTAGCATGCGTTATGAGAAACTACGACCACCAGGAACTTGCGAGAGTACTCGACAAAGTTAGTGGGGAGCTTTATACAACAAATTGTTTCACAATAGTCGACCGGTTATTCACAATTGGGGACCCTCAATCTAACAACTCTCAAGAGATCTTGAGTACGGTCCAGAACTGAGAAATCGTTACCAGCTTGCTGATGACTCCTTGTTAGGGCCCCAAAACCGAGCCATCGGCCCAAAGACCGCCCTGCGAGAGTCTCTGCCGATAAAAATATTTGCACTGCGGAATCAGCAATCCACGAGTCATAGCACGTTCCGTAGCGGTCGTCCGGGATATGTTGGCTTCCGGAAAAATACCGTAGCAAGAACTTACGCCACGCCCGTCGATGTTAGTAGCAAGGCTGCACTCGTAAACCCACTTTACGTGCGGGTGCTAGAGGTCGAATACCACTGCAGGGAGTTGCATACAACCCAACCCCAACTTGCAAATCTCAAGCACGGTTTCTCCATCGACATAGCTTCTTACTCCCAACAGGGCGATCTGTTGTATGTGATTCCTCGGTCCAAGTGATAAGAAAGGAAATTGAAAGACTAAACAATGCGCTAGGACAAGCAGGCAGTCGCTCCAAGCAAACCATGCGAATTCGGAACTGATTCTGGCAGATTCTCAAGGTAACAAGATACCTCTTGAGCCTGCCATTGGTATTTGCATTACCCGTGCTCCCGTGATCGGCGAGCTGTTTGTTGTCGAGCTCGAAGACCGTCGGAAAACTCAAAAAGCGTCATATTATATGTATGTTCAATCCCTGGGACGACAATATAACGCACAAACTAACCTGCAACATCAAAGGGCATATTCAATCACCATGGCCCAAATTTCCGAAAATGGGAAGTCCCTTATTTGCTTTTCGTCGGATTGGGACAAGGTCTCGAATACTATCATATCGATGGAAGTCTTCAAGAGAAGCGCCCAAATTGGGAAATAAAGCATAGCTACAATACAGGCTATTGCTACTCCCCGACTGAAATCGTAGAACTTTATGCAGAATCGAATCACAACCTATGAATCAGCATAAATCTATCAGAACACCCATCCAGTTTAACTCAATTGCATTGCTGTCCACGTTTCCGTCTAATTTGCCTACATATAATGTTCAAAAGGAAACAAAACCGGACATTGAAGAACATAACTAATAGAAAGCCTAAAATTCCATCCCCCTGCAAAGTAGTGAAGGGTATGCTTGGTACATACCGAGAGTGATGTCACTTTGCCACTTGTTCTTCACGTTTCCTCAATCCGCGGAACAATCAGAAGAAGGTGCGGTCTGGGAGGTAGTCGAGGACGACTCCGACACAGATGACGAAGCCTTCGGTGTCGTCAAAGCGGAGGACGCCTTGGTGGAAGATCCCGAGTCAGAAGCAATACATCGGCTGCCATGCTTGAGTCCGTTGTCTAATGTACATGACGACGTTTCTCCCTGGTGATTGGAGAAGGTGACCATCCCCGTATCCTTCACCTGAATCCATGCAGCTGACGAATTGTCTTCCGTGCCACAAGCCTCCACCCCGTGCACAGGGTAGCGATGGGTGCGGTCACCGACTTCGTTCACCGCTGGGAGTTTGTTAGTAACTCTTTTTGCTGACTCTTATGCCAGAAGTTCACTTACTTGAGCATTTTTCCCCCTCAAGCTGGCCAAAGAATGCTGAAGATCCCGTGCAGCCATGGTTGTCATAGGACCATATCGCGCATTGACCATCAATATCAATGATCTCAAGGGTGCCGCCGAGAGATCCGCTTGCATAGGCACTGGCGAGAATCATAACGATGGAGAAACGCATTTTCCTTGTCTTAGACGAATTACAGGAACTTAAAATTCGAAAATATTGTGTGTTGCGTCTTGTGTCCTGTATTTCTTAACCGATTGATTTGGCGTTGCGTGTAGTCGAGCAAAACGAGGAAGGATGACAGAGGCTTTTATAGAATTACCGAGATTTCTGAGAGCCTTCAGATCGCCTGTAGGGGGCACATATTGAATTAAAAATGTCAGTCGGCTGACCAAAGTTGAGGTGCATGGGAGATTAACACTTTGGCAAGTATGGTCGGTTATTGAGGCTCACTATGCGGTCAGGAATCGGTTAGATCAGTTTAGGCCAGCTAAGACAACTTGATGCTTGCCCAATAACCCTTGACGTATCTAGGGCTAGAACATGCGGGCGACCTTTTCAGAACTGATGAGCTCCGGAGTTCTGAGGTACTTCCTTACAACATCTCACCAGATTACACCTCACAACCCGGCCGAAGGAAAATGGCTTGTTACAGCTTTATGGCGTGTCGTCGTGGCTGAAGAAGTGAGGACTGGATATGCACTTGGACACTTGTGGCGTAGCAGGCCATTATCGAAGTGATGTGCCGCGTCTACGATAACGCGGGGCGCGAAATGCACAACCATAGATTTCGACCTTGGTCTTTGTCCATTCTGATAGAGCTATGCTATTCATAACCGAGGACCCATGTATCCAATTACGAGGCGTATCAGGCCGTGTGTCTGGTCGGCGGTCTTGTTCCGGAAGTAGGCCGACCCAGCCTTGGTCCCCACAACACACTGTGTTGAACGATCCAATTCATGTTTCTGAGGCACTACAACACGGTGCGGGTGAGTTGCCTCTGGCTTTTTGTTAGCCTTCTCGTCTCTTCAACCCAACAGTCCGCTGCATACTGTATGTTGTGGCCGGCAGCCGCAATTTGCCGAGGCCATGAAACACGTACTGGTAAAACAGAATGCCCTTGAACCTTACTCCTGTGCTTCCAAGTAGCATCCTGCATCACTAAAATGAAATAGAACCCGCCAAAAAGCACATGGATAGCAGAAAGCATATTCATATTTTATACTTTGGGAGATATGGGACATCCTCTCCCACCATTACTATATAGCCTATGATCCCCCAGCTTGGTCATGGGCTCTCGCGACCCTGACCTTTGGCTTTTTCGAAGTGTCTAAAGACCATGTCCTCTCAATCCACCACAACCATGGATGGTGAATTCAAGCGCCTCAAAAATATCCAGATGAATGCGCTGGACGAGAACATCACGGCTTTCCTCGAAGCAACTCAGAAGTCGGTCCAATCCCGGGGCATATGCAACCCAAGGGGCCCTTTCAAGAGGTCTCTGATTCATTACGCCGCTATGGGGGACTGTACTGAGCTTCTTTTACGACTTCTGGATATTGGTGCGCCAATTGACGATCGCGATCAAAACAAACGT